GAGAGAGAGAGAGAGAGAGAGAGAGAGAGAGAGAGAGAGAGAGAGAGAGAGAGAGAGAGAGAGAGAGAATGACTCATCCCCCACATCAGCTTTTACTTTCATGGGTTAATTGGTTGGGGGGATCCAGATTTTTGGTATGGGCTCTGAACATGAAGTGTTTTGCTTGATGTTCTGCAGGCACCAGGAAGGATCTTGTCAGGGAGACTCAAGGGCCATGGATTTTTTACGGGGAGAGAGAGAGAGAAGGCGGCTATTTGAAAGGCTGCTGTGGAGGTGGCATGTTTGCCATGGACTGCCCATGTGGGTGGATCTGCTGGGGTAATGTATGTTGTCATTCTCTAGAGTTTAAGGCGATGCCATTGCGGGACAGACAATGCTAATCTGGGAGAAGGACCCTGCTGGCTGTGAAGGTGAAGTTCTAAGCCTCTATGGACAGATTGCAGTGTCAAAAAAGAAAAAAAAAAGGTCCATTTCTCGATTCGTGAGACTTGGGTCTGTCACTTCTTGTCAATGGGGGATGCCAATCTTCCTTGTATCATTCCGCTTTTACTTTATATCCTGAAGGATAGGTCGCAGTGGTCTTTCTTTCTTCTTCTTCCTCCTCCTTTTTTTCCCGAATGAGGTCCTTATGTCCCTGGCTCCATTCTATTTTGGGAAGGAACAGTCCAGTTCCTTTTCCACCGGCAATTCATTGATTCTACAACTGGAAATTGACCTGCGTCCTCTTTTTTTTTTTTTTTTTTGGTTGAAAATTCACCATTTTGGGGTCACCCTGCTTCGGGAAGGTGATATGAGCACCCTCCCAAAACAAGGTCATCCCCTGTCCTACCATTATGGTTGAATGAACCCCTGAACAGCATCGATTGCTCCTTGGAGGAGTATTGGCTGTCATGCTGGCCATGTGTTGCTTAAACCACCAATACCTTTCTCAGCTATCGATGCCGAGCCCAAAACTGCCGTGCGCGCCCAAAAAAAAAGAACGGCATGGGCCTCATTTTGGCTGGCGCCACCAGCCATTTCGCGCCGGTAGTCCCTAGCCTGCCCGCCTCCCGTGTTAACCGGCGGGCGTTTGTTTTCTAAGTAGGGAAAGGTACTGGTGGTTTAAGTTCCTCTTTTCGTTTTTAGGTAAGTACGTTCATGTCACCTTGGAGTATCGAATGGGCAAAAAAAACAAGTGTCGACAAAGAAAACCGCACCGAGTTTGAAAAGAGAACAGAAATACCGACGGCCATGGTGTTAGACCGGGTGTCACGTTTACAGGGGTCGGCTGTGGTGTCAGAGGGGAAAACAAAACAAAAAAGAAAATGCCCAACGAATACTTTTGGACCGAAATTTTGAGTTGTCGCGTAGTTTCTTTGAAGGCGCGAGTTTTTATTGCCTTTAGGGTTTCAAAACATGCCGCGCAACGACCTTGAGATATCAATC